TTGTGCAATAAATTTAATCAGATCCAGGAAATAGAAACTTACATTTGGGCTGACAACATTTTTCCTAATCAGTACACCAGGATTATGATGCGCCTATGCCAGCTGACCTACGGGACTCGTGACCTTGCCGACAGGAAAGTTTCAGACCAGTCCAATCCTGCCTCCCTAGACAAATTGCCTGAGGGCATTTCCCACTTCGCGTCGTCTGTGGAGGAGTTTCAAAGCCATCTCTGCCAGCCCTCCCAGGATCCCACTCACAAACCCCATTCTCTTGATCATTTTACCTCTGACTCTAACCGGGCTCTTATTTCACAACACCAAGAATAATTATAATCCATTTATAAAAACACCAAGGAAGCCTACTGCTCTTACCTTTGCAAAATGGCTAAGGAAAACTCTTGGATTGTGGTCTCTCTTCTCTGCCACTTTACCCAGCGCTCATCTTGTATTCCACAATCCTCTCCTGCAGCATACCATATCTGTCAACATACACCAGTCCTGATATTTTAGCCACAAAAATTATAGCTGAAGTATAATCTATCATAGGACATATGACCGTCTAACAAAACAGCACGCCATTTCCGATGGACATGCGATTTCTCCTATTAAAGACAGGGCGAAGCATACCTAGTCTTTGAGCTGCCTTTCTGTATTTTGATGACAAATCAAAGGGAATTATCAAATGGGTAAACACGTGGAGAGATAAGAAATAGATACAAAATTTTAGTCAGAAAACTTGAAAGGAACAGACCACATGGAAGACAAAGGCTTGGATAAGGGATAATATTAAAATAGATTTTTAATAGTTCCTTAGGAATGGACTGGTCAGGGGCCAGTCGTACATACTTGGTCATCACGATAATGAACCTTCCGATCGCACGCAAGATGGGGAATTTCTTCATTACCCGAGAGACTACGAGCTTCTTACGATAAACTCTGCTCCATGGAGTTAGTCATATGAGATAAATGGCCTACATCTGCAATTTTAAAAATAAAAACACTCAGAACAGCGAAACAACAAACAAAGATTCACTTGACCGCTGACCTTGCTGGCAGTGGTGAAACACTTCTCTGCCGTGTCCAACATCTTCTCCTTTCGATTCTCCAATATCTCAAACATCTCCAGGCTGAGGCTGTCTGTTTCCTGCAGACACACAGTGTTCAATGGTTTACAAAAATTACAATGCAATAATGAGAATGTTTTGTTAATTAAATGGCTTCCCTGATGATGTGAAATTGTAGGTGCAGATAATGGCTATGTCTTCTGTTCTGTCTGTCAAAGATGACGCAGTGTTTCATCTCTGTGGAGAGTTTTGTTACAGCCAATCTCCAGTCTGGAGTCTCTAATGTGTTCCCAACTCCTGGTGGAGATATGAAGACCCATTTGGTCAAGTAAACCTTACTGCATTAGCAGAGGATCTTGTGCACGCCAATCTTTGAGTCTGGAGTCGTCTGCTTCGGTTCCACAGAGGACAGACAACTCCAAAATCAAGAACTGGGCATGTACAACAGGATCAGTCACACCTGCACCATCAGGGAAACCACTGAAATAAGAGAGCACCTTCAAAACTTCAACTGTAAAGATGTGTACAGACCGAGTAAAGACTCTTATCACCTTTCTAACCAGACCTACCACTCAGACACCTTCATCAAGCAACTGCTAAGCCTCACCAGCAGTGACTGACTCAGCAGAACTAACGCACTTTCAACCACTGGGTCACTAAAACTCTTCCACCTACTTTCCTACTCACATGGTTCCTAAAATGTTTCTCATTGACTCTTCTCCTACTTCACTCTGAATTGCCTTTCTGTACTGTGTTCTGCTACAGCAAATGCGTCTGGACCAAGTCTGAATGGTAAATAAAACATAGATGGCAATCATTCCAACAAGATGGCTATAGCACAACAGAGATAAACCAGAGAGAGAGAGAAGCAAATGACTGGCATGGTCACAATAACTCATACACATTCCTCTGGAGATATCAGCAAGTTTCTCACCACAAATAACATCAAGACAATGCAGTGGCTGAACAAGAAGAGTATTAACATACTGGGACAACTGAAAGATGATCTGGGAGGTGCAAGGACTGACTTTGAAGAGCTCACCAACATACTCCAAGAAACCACAGCAGGGTTAGGTTAGGTTCACAAGAATGTTGAATAACATTCAGAAAGGCCATCTTGCTTCTGAAGAAAAAACTATGCATGTCAGAAGGTCAGAAAAATATCATATAAGTGCGTCACTCTAACTTGTTTTTGCAAGTTTTGAATCAGTGAGCTTAATGGTGACGACATGAGTTTATACTTTACTCTGCATAAGTAACCTAACCTTCAAAGGTCAATGGTTGTCACAAATGTAGGCCCCAGTGAATCTGTAAATGTGTGTGTGTGTGTGTGTGTGTCAATAAACACCATTCCCTGATGGTGGAGATTATAAATCGTACCTCTGCTTCAAACTGATAGACCAATCACCTGAGAATATTCTATTGCGTACATCCTCCGTCATCAGCATCAAACAGTGGACAGCATTTTCAGTTACTTGTTATACGACTCTTGCTCTCAGTGAAGCTCAAAAGCGAGTTTACAGCTACAAGAAACGCTCTTTTATCTTACCTGTTTAAGCAGGCGGGAACAGAAGGAATGCACCATATAGACAAAGGAGCCGTACTCGATCCACATCAATGAATGATTCGCCTCAATATCCAGAGCACGCTGAAAGCAACGCTGAGCAGCAGACGCTTGACGCAAAAAGTCCATCTCGCTCTTCAATGGTTCACACTGCGACATAAAATTGTGTTGAACCTTACCTATTTACAAAATACTGATTGCTACTAGCAAAATTATACACATAGGAGTCTGCTCCCAGTGGCGGATCCGCTTTTCCCATGTGGCACTCCACTGGTCTCAGGACTCTGCCCCATGCAGTTGGCAAGTCAGAGTACACTCCAATGGCATAAGTCCATACCAAATTTCATCAAAATCCATCCAGTGGGTCTCAAGTTCAATCACGCAGACAGATATGACCAGCCACACACATGCATTCACTTCATGATGCGTAGCAACCAGTGATTACATTAAGTGGAACGCACTGTAAATATTTTACTTACAGAATTAAGTTTAGTTTCCAGTTGACTCCCACGAGCAAGCGCCATTCCTGCCCAGGAGTCGATGCGTACAGGATTGACACAAACATCCAGCAGGTAGTGCCTAATTGCCTTCCCCTGCAACAGACACTCCGCACTTTAACCTTGTGTTCACTGTTTCCACACTGCACGGCAATAATCGGTGTCAAAATCATTCAGATATTTGCACCCATAACACTAAGGACTCTTCCACAAACACTTATGTATGTCCATTAATAATTCTGGAGAGGAACTTCAAAGGTTCGTGTTCGAGTCGAACATTTCATGTGCATGGCACAATTTTAAAATTTCAGTACAGAAAAGTAAGATATGGGTTTTACAGGAATTACCCCACACGACCTGAAACAGTTACTGACAGGACTAAATTACTAGCTTCATACTTACAAGGACACTGAAGACAAAATCAAGGAAGAAATGCTAACAAAGTTTTGTAATGAAATGTCTGTCTTGGTGTTACAGTACAGAAGTGAAGCGAGGGCATTAAGGAAGGTAGAATATTCAAAAAGAGAATCCAAAGAAATTAAGATTAAAGGAAGCACAATTCACATATCTTATCAACTACTTACCCATTCATTAACTTTGAAATACTAGTCAGCCAAGAGGTAGAAGATCGCTGACATGGAGCGAGGCAACTGACTACGAGCATCTCCCAACACGGGAAAAGACGGGCTCGTCCCATCGATATATGCCATCGTTCTGTCCACCAGATGTGCTGAAAGCAACACAAATTCATATCAGTTCTGTACGTGCTCGCAGTAGCCGATATAGATGGGGCAGAAGCAGGTACGTCAACATTGTGGAGCCCCTTGCGTGTGGTCGCTGTTACGACTAACAGCTGTTACCGGTACCGAAGTGTCAGAATGGAATACCATGCACGGTGGGCTAGCCAGCTCTTGGCAGATGTGGGCACAGAATTCTGCAGATGCTGCGATATTGTATGGCGAACAGACGGCATCCCGATCAGAGACACTTTGAGTGTCGCCGCGGGGTCGGGACCATTTGTGAAATATTTAAACACACAGCAGGGGGCTGCGCACGCTGATCGTTCTCAGATGGTGAAGACGGCCGGAGGCAAACTGGAGTTCCGTTTACAGTTTGCCTTACAATCCTTCGTATATGGCCTTACAGTACGACCCAACATGAAGATATTCCTTCTGCATTTCACGAAGTCAACCACGTCATTAAAGTGGCTATCACAGACAGCAGATATTGTCCTACAAAATTGCTTTTCATCGCAAGTAGTTGAATCTGTTAGAGAAAAAATTTTACCTTGGTTTTCTTATTCGGATGTGCATACAAGCAAAAGAACACCTGTTCCAGGCCTTGATTTTGTCTGTCCCTAACAGAAGCTAACTTCTCATCTCTCAGCCTTGGAATTACCACATCCAACGTGTGTAAGAGGAGATGAGAGAAAGAGGGGGGTTATGCAAAAATATATTTATGAGGGAGCAGCAAAGTTGGTCCAAACAGACATCATATCAATCAACAATCTTTAACCAAAACCACTTGTTCAAAGCTCTGGAGTTGAAAAAGAAAGAATCCAGCCATTTACACAAGTTTTAAAACACAAAAGTCTGATTCAGTAACTTTAAATACTGAACTGATGTGAGGCAATTTCTTTTTTTATGTATTACACTGCAATGCTTTTACAACACTGTATTTGCCCCTTCACTGCCGCAGCACCAAGACCTCCTGCACGACAAGAAGGAAGTTACACGCAGCAGAAGTCCATTACAACAAAGAATGGTAAAAACTGCTCCGGGACTAAAACAACAAATGCTTTATTTTATTTCAAGTAAAATTTTACTCTTTACGCCACCCATAAAAATGTATTACGCTCAACCGCATTCACATCGCTGCTTTTTCCCCCTATCAGTGTTACGGATTGCATTACATGGATCAAATTTATAAGGGAACAAACAAGGATTCAAGGAAACATAATGAAAAGATCAGTTCTGGAATTTGTTCATTTCAAGATTTTATCAATCTCCACCACTGACACAGCAGTTCAGGAATTACCACTGGGTCTCGTTTAGGGCCGACATCTTACCTCCCAAGAAAGTCATGGGCAGTAAAGAGAACCGAGATGTGGCCCGGCAAATCCTCACTTTCATGAATCTCCTGCTCCTCGTCCGAGCCGGAAGACGACTTCCCTCCCTCCTCCTTCCTCCTGTCACAAGAAAACGCTTGTCACGTGTCAGCAGCAGACAGTAAAACCACAGTTTACACAGTCAGTTGGTTTCATGCAAAATAAGTACAGAAACATAATGAGAAGTGACAGACCATTTGTCAACTTCTTCTGTTTAGATTGTTTCTAAAGGCTTTTGATGTTTAAAGAAAACTTTTCTTCAAGGGGCTGAATAATACGACTTGCTTCAGGTGGTAATTAAAAACAGTTATGAAATTCTCACTGCTCTTAGGGAAACATAACTTCCATAGGTTTTATGCCGAGCCAGACAATAATAAGTTCTGAAACACAGGGCAGCATTCCAACTGGAATATTCATGAGTGATTGAGGCTCCAGCAAATGCAATATGTAACATATCAGTATGGAACCTTTGTCCAAGAAATTTAGATGCTAAAGTTCAAAATTTATTACATAAAGAAAGACGCTCCGTGCAATACTCACTGTTGCAGGATCTGTTGGAGCAGAATCCACGGACAGATAGATTCTACTGGCATCTCCACAGCTGTTTCTGGGGCATCCAGTTGGTGACACACTATGTGGGTCAAATTTTGGACCAGGCGGGCCAATCTGCCATTTGGAATATTATCGACTGCAACACCACATGGTATGCGTGAGGAAGAAAAGCACTTCATACAACATTTTGGTTGGAAAATCTGAAGGAAAGAGACCACTCACAAGACCTAGGCATAGAAGGGAGGATAATTTCAAAGTAAAACTGAAGGAAACAGAGTGGGTTCATCTGGCTCAGGACTGGGACCAGTGGCAGCCTCTTTTAAACACTGAAATAATCCTTAGGGTCCCATAAAGATCGGAAATTGACGAGCCGAGAGACTGATAACCGCGTATAAATGATCTTTATTTGAAGACCAGCCAAGTGCCAGAAGAGATATGAAGCCAAGGGTATGATAACGCGCTGCTTGGTCAGGGCCATCTCATACCTCGTACACAACCCTTACTGTGCACACCTTGCACAAGCAATTAATGACACCTTCCACAAAATTAAATATAAAAACATAATCAGTGCTATGAAATTAATTTCTAAAACAACTAATCACATACGACATAAACACAAAGCGTGCGTCATCTTTCTTCCCATGCAGGTGCACTCTGTCGGAAGAGTTTTGTAAGGAAGCTGAGATAAGATGAGTCTTGTATATTTATGTACAAGAAATGCCACCTACGAGCAGACAGCACTTCAAACCCACAATGCCACTGTGTTACGCTCTTTTTCAATCAACACTTACCAACTGACGGACCAGCCTTCTTCACACAGGATTCCAGACCAGAAAGGAGTTTCTCAACACTTGCTCTGTTCCTTGTCTTCAGAATTTAAGTATTTGTGTAGTGCTTCATTACAGCACTCCTCTCCCCAGTAGAAACAGTCCTATGGAACAGCACACACACACACCAGTGCCATATTTACTCAGACGGAAGATGGCCGGTTTCCACATTGTCCAAATTACAAACTGAAAAGCTATCTTGAATTGAAGTGTGAAGTACACACCTGTGTTTTCTGAACATTTTAAGCTCTTATCAATTTAGCACTGCCACTGTAACGATAAGCGGGCGCCATATTCTTCAAACGTCGTGACCTGGCACATTTCCCCATTAATTTTCACGCGGCAGCTTTCCCTTCGTTGACGATATTCCTGCTACGGCACGGTCCTCCCCTAACAGAAGTGTTTACCAAGGAAGAAGGCCGAATAAGATGCAGATTTCATCAGCATGAAGTGCGTCTTTTGACTCGCAGCATTCCAAACTCTTTTGCCCACTTGCATTCTCTTTATACATATTTTTCTATGTAAGCCCACACACCAAGATATGGGGAAACCACTAATGCTTATAGTTGGCTTCAGGCAGGACCAGAAAAAATATTCACTAAATCAGGTCTTCACCACATAGGCCTATTACAAGAAGACTGAAGTGAGAAAAAAAATATTTCTATGGGAACAAATACTGTAATCGAAATACAAGGTCAGCTGTTCCACCTGAAGTCTGAGTGGATCCTCAACCAATCTCCAAGTAAGAAAAGTCTAAATTAAGAGCACAGGCACAAGTACCTGGTACCTCCTGAGTTGCCACAGACCATCCATTAACATAGCAGGCTGAGTAGCCCGATCAGGACAAGCGGTGTTACAGCTTAAAGCTGATGGAAGCTGCATTTGTTGCGAGTAGTGAAAAGTTTCCTGATGAATTTTTACCAGTTCTTCATAATTCTGTACATCATAGAGATGTTGAACTTCATACAGCCTCTGGTTTCTGAAAAAACATATACACAAATAAATACAAGGTGATTCTTCAATACATGCAATAAATATAAGAATCTTTTTTCTACTCACGAAATTAATCAAAAAAGTTCTAATAAACATTCTGTCACACTGCACTGTTAGCAAGAATTAGTTAATGAAATTAAAACAAGTAATGCTGTGCTCTAGGAGCGCATTTATTTAACACATTTAATGTTTACTAACAGTTGCTTAAGATGCTGGTTCGTTACGGCTACCTGACGCAGCTGATCGCCCAGCAAGGCTTAACTGAATTTAGTCGCCACAAGAACAACAGCCCACACATCAGATGTGACATGTTCATGTATATTTACCTTGTCAGAGCTGCGAGCAATTTCTCTGCCTCTTCCTTGTTGATATGATCGTGGTGCTTGCAGTTTGGTAGAAAAACTGTTCCCGTGTTGTCACATCTGTCATTAAGGTACCCCAAAATCTGTAAGACATGACACAATAATATTAAAACTAGCAGTGTGAAGCGACATTATTGTTTTTTACTTATATCTATGGAACACTTAGTGTTGATGATTGAATTGAAACACTTCACTTCTATAAGCATAACTGCGACTATTCAAGCAAATGGCTTGCAGTATCAACAAACACGGGAAGTAGGCGTCAGACCTCAGCATTCAACAAAGATTTCCTTGTGGGAAGTGGCATGTTTGTGCAACGCTTCACCTACATAAGGTACGGCAGTCCTGCATCAGGCACCGATTGCAACCAGCACAAAGAGCCATTCCCCTGGAGACCCTCCAGAACAGTCCGCGTCCACTGGTACCTGTCCAATGCACTGGCGTACACGAAACACAAACACAGATTATAAGTCAAACACACCCAACCGACGATCGCCAAGAAAACCAACTTAGATCGATAAAATGTAAAGAAAATAACACCCTCCCACGATATTTTAACAGTATCGCCCTTTCTGAAGTTAAAAGGGGAGGCTCTTAGTGTCATTACACCCATTGGCGATCCCATCTTATGTACACTGGATGTAAATGAACAATGATAAGGAGATATAAAGAATCAAACATGGGCACACATTTACAAGTTCAAAACCACGACAACGAAGACTCAACCAATATCTCAACCTCTCACAAGAAATAAATAAAACACTCTCAAAAAATAAACTGAAAGCTGACAAATAATCCACGTGAGAAATACATTGCCCAAAGTATATCAAAATGAAGATAATACTTGGAATAAATAGCTTTGACTGTAATACTTTACATATGCCTAACGTAGCAACTTACAGCTGTGAATCACAAGCAGATATTGTAGAATTTGAGGTTTTCACAGCAGCTAGTACGGAGATTCGTCTTCTGGGTTGTTGCGCCGCGTAGTATGGTAGGTATTTGTATTGATATTGTTTATATTGTCTAGAAAACATGAATTTTGTACATAGTCACCACCAAAATATACACAACACATTTTTTAAAGTCACTATATACACATATTTAATAACCAATAAGAATTATGGCAATGAAAACAGTTTTTTTTTAAATTCACCTGAAGCATTTGAACTGTGGTGCTATAGAAGGATGTTGAAAATTAAGTGAACTGATAAAGTACAAAATGAGGATAGGTGAAGGAAGAATATGGAAAAATCTTACGAGAAGAAGAGATAGGACACATTCTGAGGCACCCAGGATTGGTTAATTTGGTAATGGAAGGAACAGTTGAAGGGAAGAATCGTAGGGGGAGACAAAGATTGGAATATGTGACGCAGATTTTTGAGGATGTGAGCTGCAAAAAATGTGTGGAAATGAAGAGATTGGCGCAAGATAGGCGAAAATGGAGGACCGCATCAAACCAGTCGGAACACTGACGACAAACAAACAAACAGTACACCTTAATGTTGAGTAAGGAGACTTATAGAATACTAATTGTTTATTATCAAATTCAATACTGATGACATATAGTTATATATAATAATGTTAAAAATAATTGCACTTTGCAGCAAGTTCAACAGTATAAAACTAATCTATATCATACAAGTACTTAACATATTAAAATGGACAATTAAAAACACAAAGTCATTAAATAACATCTCAACCAGCAGTCTTTCATAGTTAATTAATTGAGGAGAACGTTTTGTTGTACAAAGTTGTAACAAGTAATATACTCTCCATATAAGAATTAAAAACAACAAAAGCCAGCACAATTAATGTTAGTAAGGACAACACACTATGAAGTTTAAAAATATTACTGTCCAGGAATCTTACACAAAATGTTAAAAGCAGGGTCAGGAAGAACACGCAGTATTTCCAGTGTGTGAACAAAGTTACAAACCGCTGAGGTCAAAATTTACAATACTTTAAATTAAATATATGCATTACTGCACTTAACATAAAATATTCCTATACCAACAAACATCATACCACCACAGAACACAACTAATTTCAAATGACATCTACTCAATTTCACAGACAGTATTTCCGTAGTCTTAGCAAGTTACCCTAAAGAGGAAGCAACAAATATACAATATATTAACAGGGAACTATTTGTACAAGACATTCACACCACAAATCACATAATTATCGGGAGCTGTCATCTACGAGTCGTTAAATGGCACGTTACTGCTGTGCCTCTTTGATTCATTGGGGTTTTCGGTGTGCCCCAGGAAGTTTGCAGTCTTGATGAAGACCCCTGAGCTGCAACATTTTTCCACAGAGGTTTCAGGAGTGTTACTCGTGCCTGTGACATCTTCTTCGTGCTACGTGGCAGTAAAATCTTTGAAGGTATTTTAGACAGGGTTCTAGCAGGGGTGTTACGCTCACGGAGGCAGTGACCTGCGACCATGGAGCTTCTGCATGTCTCTTGTTGCTTTAACACTTCCAGATGTTCCTATAACAAGTATCATCACATAAAATATTCCTATACCGACAAACATCATACCACCACAGAACACAACTAATTTCAAATGACATCTACTCAATTTCACAGACAGTATTTCCGTAGTCTTAGCAAGTTACCCTAAAGAGGAAGCAACAAATATACAATATATTAACAGGGAACTATTTGTACAAGACATTCACACCACAAATCACATAATTATCGGGAGCTGTCATCTACGAGTCGTTAAATGGCACGTTACTGCTGTGCCTCTTTGATTCATTGGGGTTTTCGGTGTGCCCCAGGAAGTTTGCAGTCTTGATGAAGACCCCTGAGCTGCAACATTTTTCCACAGAGGTTTCAGGAGTGTTACTCGTGCCTGTGACATCTTCTTCGTGCTACGTGGCAGTAAAATCTTTGAAGGTATTTTAGACAGGGTTCTAGCAGGGGTGTTACGCTCACGGAGGCAGTGACCTGCGACCATGGAGCTTCTGCATGTCTCTTGTTGCTTTAACACTTCCAGATGTTCCTATAACAAGTATCATTCAATTTAATACATCTACACCTACAATATGAGCATACTAGCAAAAGGCGGCAAGGACATTATGTAAGCAAACTTAGTATTAGTAGCATCAATATTCACAGTACACCAAACTCCTACTTAATAATGTAATAACATGCCTCATTATAATTATTTTTCTTGCAAAGAACCTGATGTTTGTACTTCTAACAAGATCTAGGTTGTCAGGATGTGAAAAGGGATGAAACTGCTCAGTATTATCATCATTGGGCTCTGCTGTTAGAAATACAGAAACATTAGGATCTATTACCAAAAAAATAATGTTTCAGGGGGATCTGTGACATAAAACAATTTTATACTAATTGACATACATTTTAAAACAATCACCAATATTTGTAGAGAAATGCTCGTCAGCCTTTATCACATGGGATTTAAACCTTCATTCTACACAGCTACCAACCAGACCTTAATCCAAAGTTAAACTGTTTATAAGTATGCTACTGCAATACACAGACAGTTGGACCGTGCGTAGGATGTGAAGGACAGCCAATAGAGGTTAAGTATTACACACATTGTAAGAACTGAACAAAGTAGAGACACTTATTTATATCATCATATAATTATCACTAACATGACACAGCAAACACAGGTTGAAATCGCAGTTACGACAAGAATAAAGACAGACGCTACGTTCCTCATAAAACATCGGTAATCACCTTCAAGATTACAAGGAGTCAAAAAAAGACCATGATATGAACTCTCCACACCGTATAAATTTTATGTAAAAATTGCATACAGTGAGAATTTTTAAAAACTGTCTATGGACCTCCAATTATTTAAAGAAACTAGTTCTGTTCATTTCACCCCATATAGCATATTCACCCACAATTACAGATAAACTGCTACACCTACAGTGAAACCTCGATGCATCGTTTTCGGTGGGGGTGGGAAATAAAAACGATGAATACGGGAAAACGATAGATGCAGGAAAGCATTAAAAAAATTTAAAAAACTGAACGTTTCTCTTTCATGTCCTGCTTCAGAGATTAATAGTTACTCAGCTATTTTCTCACCTGAAATAAAAAGTGTTTAAATTTTGTAAAATAATTTCTTGTTTGATTTTAAAAAGACTTTTAAGACTATTTTTTTTATTTGTACATGAACATGTAAATAGAAACACATAGTAGGGGACCCAGTGTTACCAACCTTTTTACTGTTGGGAGGAATAATTCTTTATCAAAGCTGTTTTAATATTTTTGTTTCTCACTTTGTTAACACTGAATTTAAAGCACCATACCATATGCTCTGTAGTTTCAGGAATCATAGCTTGTGCATATCTCCACTCTGGCCCCTGGTGGTTATACAGCCTCCATATTGGGGTCATTACAGATTTTGCATTCTTCGTGTACACCGTGAGGGATCCAAGGCTGGGACCAGTGTTATCAATGAATGGCTCATTCAGCACAAACCTGTGAAGCGTTTGGTTACATATCAGCCAAAATTATCACACCATGAAGGCATAAAAGCAAACAACCATTATTTCTATCTGCCACCAGTAAACAGGAATAGTATCTGAAATTATAAACTAACCACATGCAAGAGCATCAGAAGTACAAGCAGTGGCACCATCAGAAGTTGGCAGTAGATTATTCTGAAAGCAGAAACACTGGTGCCAACAGGTCAGACAGAACAGGCAGGTTTATACATTCTGTGCCAAGCGAATAAAGACACTGATTTCCCAAATAATCATTTACCACAAACCTGGAAGTCTGTATACGTCGTCATATTCGAAGCTTCTGTATCATTATTTGTTCCTACTCGAGCAAAAATAATCCTAGGAACCTAAAAAATAAACAGTAACACAGTACAATGTGTGCCAAATTATTCAGTTTTAAAAAATATTCTGATCTGAATGTCACAAAAGTATAAGTACTTCATTACATGAATGCAGAAAAAACATTTACATTTTGAGGTTTTAAGGATATCAAAGACAGAACACATGTCTCAAGACTAGAAGAAATCTTTGTGGTGTTTGAATCTGTTTATTACACATTTATTTTTTGTATTATTCACGGTGACTGCAAGATATCTGGTGATTAGAATACCTGCTTCAAGAAAATATCACACATTTTGTATCACCAGAATTGTGCTAGAACTCAACCTCAAACAATTTTTTATTTTAATAATCTGTATGAGGTGGATTGTTCTCAGCTGCAAATGTTCCGAAAATATACGACATGCAATTTTTAAGTCTGATATATTTAGTAACGTCTTGCGTTATGTCGAACGGTTATCAGCAGGCGCTTCCATTATCCAGATGGCAGCACTCTCTGAGAAACTCAAAAAGTTTGTCACCATCTGTCTCACAGATGATGTACTGGATGCAAATCAACAAAAAAATTTAAATAACCCCCCCTCTTCATGAAGTGTAACAACAAAGTTGGCCTAAATCTGCCTTGACAGCATCACACAAACCCACCACATCAAAAAAGCAGTACATAAGATTATTCACAAGTTCCTGCATTTACACACATATAACCTTAAGCAGCTTTGATTCTCGACTGCATCGACAGAGATGAGTTACGCCTACGTGTGCAAAGTGCTTGTTTCAGATGAGTCAACTTTCCACATTAGCAATCAAATTAATAAGTCCACGGTTAGCATCTGGTGTTCACAGCATCTACATGTGATCCAGGAAATGAAAAGGTACTGTCCCTAGAAAACAGTAGTAAAGGTGATGACCAGGAATAAAACAAGCATGGGGGGGGGGGAATAAATTAACATACCACAGTTTGCTGAATAGGACAAGCGATGGTCCCTAAGGTAGCAGTCCTTTCAATTCTGGCCACCTTCCGTAATTTATGTGAACCGAGAGGAGGAGTTCCTGGTGCATTCTTACGTTTAGGAGCTCTTAATTGAGATCCCATTTTTGGATTCAATATCAAACAGCATCTCTTGCAAATTTCTGCAAAATAAAATAAAGAAATGACAGACATTATTTTTATATGTAATCAACTTCATGGCACAGGGTCATTTTCATGCAACTCACTGTTATTCATCCCACCAAAGATCAGCGTCATCATAAAACCTTACCACTGGGCCCTATCTTGAGCCACGTGACTTTTCATTTCTAACCGTACTTTCAAATCAACAATCAGAATCACTCCCATGATTAAAACATCTACTCTAAGCTGACGCATATTCTTGGGCATCAACGATGAGTTCAGCCGTCAATCGGCTGTTCTTGATTGTCGAAACCGCTGCATCGTCTGCCGGACGCAGCTGAACCAGCCCATCACAGCCGTTTCATAATGTGAATAGATTAAAACAATCAGTAAATCTAGATGTCAGTCAGTTACTCACCTTAACTGTCTTTTCCTGTTCTTTATGCTCTTTATGCAATGTCCACTGACTATTAATTACATCTGAGACTGGTTGGCCATGTATCTTGAAAGGTTTCTTGTGTTGTTCCTCGTAAAGGCTGACATACTTCATAAGCTCCTTTTCAACCTTCGGCAAATCCTAACGAGAGGGAAGACGACCAAAATTCAGCAACATATCAACTTAATTCTCTGACGGAACCCCAAACCTTGCCACTGATAAATGATTATGTGTAGATGATGAAAAAAGACAAGTGCAAGCCGAAAGCTCCACCTTCCTCGACCAACAGTGTGACGGATTCTAAGGAAGTGTTTGCAAGCGAAGCGAACTGAGGAAAAGTTTAACATCTCAGAAATGCACCTGGCAGATGTGTACGTACAGATTCAAACCCCCAGGTCTATGAACTTTAAGCCACCATTTTTTTTTAAACCAACATTTATACTTCAAAATTATTGGTCTCACTCAGAACTTATGTTAGAAATTACAAAATGTATTTATTTATTTATTTACGAGGCACTTTATCAGATTACCTTTTTGATTGCCTTCCTTTCTTTCTCTTCAACTAGCAGCAGGCCTCCACGGTTATGGAATAGCCGGTTCGGGTCATTTTCTCTATTTTCTAAATCTAACATTTTGTCCCAAAGTTTCTGGCGCTGGTAAGCCAATTGAAAAATCTCACTGAAAGAAAAAGCAGTAAGTTTTATAAATTAAAAAAATAAAAGCCTACTGCAAAAGTGACAATTTTAAATGTTCGTACTGATATTCTCCTATACTTCATGCAAGGAATTCGGTACCTATTGGAATTGCTAACACCTTGAATTCCAAACTGCATAAAAAGTCATACATTACAACTATTTGCTCACTCCAAAAATTTGATGATCACGAATCACTTACTTACTTTGCTCATAGTGAGCCTGAAACTTCTGGACTTCAAGTTCATGTAGTTCCAAGAGATCTTCAGTGAAACACTCGCAAGAATATGGTCGAAACTGCGCGCGCTCTTCTTCGCTAATCAAACCAGTGTTTGAGCTCTTCTCGAATCTTCTCGACGAAGCGTTTGATGTTCTGGCGTTTCAGTACTTCGCATCTCTTTACTTCATCCTTGAACTGTAATTATGAAAATGTTAAAACTGTATTAAGTGTTGGACACCTCTTACTTCATACAAACACAAGAACAATCAATATATACAATAAGATACAGTTAATGACTGTTTTGTTTGTGCTCCCGGAGGCACCTAACAGTTTTTCATAATGATGCTAGATCTCAAAACATTCTAGTTTACAGGAGCTGCTACCATTATGCAGCTTCTAGAAGTGCTTCTAATATGAGAGGTAAGAATGATAAAATAACAGGGATGGAGAAGAAACACAGAGGAAAGGACGTACAGACATGTAATGAATAAATGGAAGAAGAAAGGGGAAGATATTGTAACCGATCTCCCTTTTAATTTGTTCTTGGTTATTTTGTTGGGCGCCAGTGGACCTCTTGTGTCCACGAGAGATGGTTGCTCAGGGTAGCTCCAGCCGATAAAACACGCCGTCTGTACACTCAGGTTAGTGTAACGGCCGGACTCACGGTGATGCAGCGGACGCTCGGACTTATGACACAGTTGTAGGTTTTAACAAGCCCAGCTTTATTGTTATAAATTGGAATTAAACTGTACACAAATGTTCACACTGTCTATATAACTTACTAAATCACCCAAGTACACTTCTTCACTTCGCCTCTGCCGATGTATGCAGTCCCAATATATTTTATCAAATTTTTATAAATTTTGGTAGTTATAGAATTTGGTACAATATCCAATATATAGGCCGAATTGTGGCTGAGCAGTTTGCCACCGAATTACTTGATGTCCAAAAGGGAAGAGCCTAGAAGCATCTGCACACAGGACTAAAAAACCCTCAGCTCTCCAAAACCAGGGGTACCTGCAGCACATCCTTGCTTTTGATTGGATCCCCTAATTTTGGGACCCAAGCCTAAATTTTGTAACAAAGGGGTCTCAAAGGCCATCAGTCAACCTGGTTATTACAGGTAGTGCCATTAGACATTGACCTACCTTAAGATTTAACAATAGGGCTTAGCTCTTAAGGGAAATGCTATACATTAAGGTAGCTTCTTTTGTCCTCACCCAGATGTGCTACAGGGGCAGGTATAGAACATCATTTTATTTTCTTAAAGAACAGAAGTTACACATACAGCTTTCAAAGTAGCAGAAGAGTGGTCTCCATGAGTAGAGAGGAAGTTTTCTCTGTGCCTGTATTCTTCAGGGAGACGGTCCCAAAGTTGCGTGAGTTTTCCACGCAACTCAGCGACTTCAGCTTTTTTATCTTCCAGTTGTTGTTTTAACCTCTGGTGTAATTGCTGCAACACGGATATAAAATCTTTGCTACGTGTAGCTAATCTTCATGCCACAGCCTGAGGACCAATGCAATGTGAGCGTGGCAGAATATAGAGAGGCACTCTATCAGGGTTTGATGATACACACAAGAGTCCTGCTTATTGGGGAATGAAAGCAACTGGAGGAGTTCATTTTCATAAGATGGTGGAAATGACATTTGAGGAGGATGGTTATGATCACTGCTGTCATCACGAAAAATTCCACTGTCTCTTCATCCCCTGAAACTGGGAATTTTAGCTCACTTCTGTATTCTTTAACACACGCTCTCAGCTTATATACAGAATCTCCCTGGAGGTAAAAAGATTTTGAGACAGGAAATAACACAAAAATGAGTGAAGTGTTTCCTTAAGAGGGAGCTGCAACCCCCCCACCCCCCAGGGGTTCATTGAAACTTTTTCCATGGGGACTAACAGCCCAATTAAAAAAACACAGTCTTCCTTGAAAACAGAGTAGACCTAGATGGACAAACACAATAGTCTCTTATGCACAAAAACACACAATGAAGAATTACAAATTTTATACAACACTGGAAAGATGTCGAAGTAATGAGATTGGATAGATTGCCCACAGCAGAGAAAAAGATAAGACCAACCAGCAGAAGGAAAATATTTAGGAAGATCTAAAACACATCTTGTATTGGCCTAATACTGGGTTAAAGAATATTTCTGCAGGTTTGAAAATTATTTAAAAAATTCTAATTCCCAAATCAAGAACTGCTTAAATTAACAAGTAGACAGTAAAGCTACATACGTTCAGTGCAGCCATATTCTCCCTAGTTGGTCTGAAGGCCGCATCCTTTCCACATACAAGTTATTCACACAGGAGAAAGATGACAAACATCAGTTCAAATAAACTTGCACGCTCTGGCAATATAAGAGAGTGAAGCTGCACTCGACTGAGCATGCATCCTACCATCACACCGTCCGAAGGAAACAATACCAGCACAAGAGCTGCGCCATTTTCTCGTACGCAGGGACGCCAACGTCAGAGAAACAGCGAACACATCCCGCCACCGCCTGGAGCACGAGGGATATTCGATGATCATTATGTGCGCACCCTGACGACCTCTCCTTTCATCTGCCGACAATTCCTCTGAGGTACATGACCGTCAACGAACACTACACGACACTGCCGAACCAAATGCTGCCTGAAATACCACTCCACAGATTGTAAACTTATAAGCATATGAAACTTACTTCTGTGACTACCATTAGTGACATCTTCTCACTTAATAATGGCAGGAACTAAAGTACTGAAAATGAAGGAGAAACTAGCCTACCAACGTCGCCTATAAGAAACCAACTACCAAACACTTCCATAACCTCAAAAATCTTAAAATAATACAAAACTTGATAAACTAGATTGGCAGCCACTGATGACATATTTATGTGAAATATGCTCACCTTTTCATTCTCTTTTTCCTTGACGTAATTTTCAAAATCATCGAGTTGTCGTTCAGTGGGAAACTGATCTGTAAAGCCGGTCTGAGGCTCAATTCCCAGATCATCACAAAGCACTTTTTCCTGTATGAAAGAATTAGAGAAATTAACTTCAAAATTCCAATTCAAGGCATCTACTGACAAATCTGACAACTTGGAAGACACATCCACAACCTTGTTTAAATCATATGGCATGTTGACAGCTGTGATGAAGTAATAATAAATAATCCTATTCCCTTTATTGTGCAACAATACATACCTTCCTCTGCAGATCTGCTAATCTGCAAGCAAGCGACTCTTTCATTTTGCGATATTCGCCTAACTGGTGTCGCAGTGTCCTTTCAGCACTGCACAATGGCAGATTTTCTAACCCAGTTACAGACATCTCCATATTCATTTCCTAAATATGGACAAATCATTAATTGACAGACTTGCCAAAGCAAAAAGAACAGATGCAGCATGCTGGTCCTCTGTGTGACGATGCTAAAGACTATCGTTATTACTGTGTTGAGAAGGAATTATTACAAATGTCTGCATTAAATTTGTATTACATAACCTCAAAATCTTGCACCACTACCATGTTTATAATTTTTAACATACAAATAATAGTTCATATGGAATTTTTGAATATGTTCATGATCTATCATCATACCAAATTATTCACTAAGTTATTACCATAAAACCAAATAGTGATTTCAGGGAGACACCATTTTCCTTTGAAAAAGTGGAATTTTTTAAGCTGTTATGATTCACCATTTGAGGGCCCTGTATTAAGCATTCTGACAATATTTACACACAACATGGTGACCTCATAAGCCTACTTTCTTGCCTACTTCCACTTTTAACCATTTATAAAACAGCCAATATTAAAATAATTTCTCTTTCTCTATAGCAGAACAATATTCCAGCAAACGTACAATTTGTATTGCAGCCCAGAAAATATAAATTTTGTTTTGCCCTTCTTATTTTTTATGTAAACTGGTACCTGCTAGTAACTGTTTGATATGGATCAAAATTTACCCCTACTCATACCCCATATTAACTTGGGTTTTGTTTTGCCCCAAAAATATACCATCTTAACTTTACCTATAGCAGTTATAATTTTGCGTGTATGAATTATCCCAATTTATTTCATGCCATTTTTCTATTTTTTCTTTCCCATTTCTAAATAGAAACAGTGACCAATAGTTCACAGACAGGAACTAACTCTGGTGGATTTCTTTTATACTTCCTTGGCTTCAATGATCACAGTGCTAATATATTATGCCTGTATTTGGACGGATATTGCAAACAGCTGTGAACACATGCATCATGCTTACTATCCTGTTATTATGGCACACAAAACTGACAGACAGTGAAATAGAAGACATTTCTGTTGGTGAGTCCCAAAGTATTACTTCTATGCCACAAACAGAACTAAAAGTCTTAGATTCAGACACTTCTGTCGATACACAAGCTCTATAACGAGGAGGAAGTGAAAATTTTTTCAACTATAACATCCATTAAAATATCCTAGCAAGGTCTCAGATAACTTGGGATAGTAATAAACAACTGTTCACATACAGAAAATTTCCTTGTAAAAAAAGAGAGAGCGAGAGACAACAACCACAACCCTACATTAATTTATGTATTTTAAAATATCACAAAACTAAACCAAAACAATGTGTCCCTTTTTGGCGTCACATTCAGAAAAAATAAATGGAAGAAACAATGTTTAAGCCCTGTGAAAGAAGTTCCTCAAATCACTTATAAATGTATTCACACAAATTTCATATGTGTCACACATCTGTTTTAGTATGTCACTGATTACATTGCAATTCTTTCATGTGCACGTAAATCACTTAGATTCTGAGACTTCATTCCTGCACCAATTCTCACAACTAACAATCACATGAATTAACTTTCTCTTCATTAGTTGATTATGTTTAAAAATTCAGTAACCATTGTAATATTTTCTTGCCCCCTCTGTGCATCACAAACAGCAGCACAAAAATAAATAATTCTGATAACTAATAACCATAAAAGATAATTTAAAACTTCATCTTAAAATTGTACTCACATGCACATGTTGCTTCACAACCTCACATCTCTGCCGTATATTTAAATCGTCATACCCACAATATTTCCAAATCGATGCAAATTTGTCCATATATGTTGTTACAGTATTATTAACTGCTGTGCTTACATCGTTACAGTAGCTGAATGGGAAGAAACCATTCATTTATATTTCTTGGATAAGAAAATGCTTTTCCATGAATTTTTATTTATCACACTGAACAATATTTCAAATAGCCTCAAATCTCAACCTGCTACCTATATTTTACATACAAGTTATGAGGAAGTTAGTAAAGTTTGGTTTAAACTTCAAGTGAAGTGTAGATTTTTGCAGAATTGGGTAATCAGCCTCAATAATATGGGCTACCACAAGCCCGGTGTCACTAGCATTTGCTGTAATCTAAAGAAATGAGGCACTCAATGAACTTCTCATCAGCAGACTGGTTATAACAAGCAAGACACTCCAAAACCAACAATTTTTCTTCATACACACCATGCTTTATTCATAATAACAAACAGGACACACACTTACTTTATCATTGCATAATTTATACTAGTCCCATAGTATACTGTTAGCATCTGCTTTGAGTTTCCAAAACTGCCGAATATGACAGATCACTAGCATGCCTTTGGTATCAGAGTTTACACGAAACATTGTTCTTTGCTGGTACTACCTTTTCAGGCATCTTCTACACAAAGTGAAAAATTAAGGATCCAGCAAAGTGACATGCCTACCAGTCATTTATTTCTACACACTACACACAATGCAATTTAAACCTTGTCTATATTTGCAAGTGTCAATACATATTACAGAACGGTTTATCGATAGTTCACAAAAGTACTGAAATAAGAACATCAACTTACCTAGAAGGAATAAAACTGTCCATATTTATGATTTACATTACATACACATCATACAAAATAAAATCTTATAAGACTCGCCCTTCGCTTGCACGTTATATAAATACCTTGAGAGGCAAGAATTTGATTGGTTGAAGAAACAGACTTTCATTGGCAGAATTTAAACTGTACCTGACGTCATCAACCACAGATTACAGAACATTGCATTCTTCAACGACGATAACTTAAAAGTTTCGAATAATCTGTGGTTTCAAACGCCAGCAAGGTGCGTTTATGTATTACTCTTTATGTATGAAAAGTTTCTATACGATAATCAAAAAGAGAAGAAAGCATACAAAAGCAAGCACACTGAGAACTCTCTAACCTAAATTTTATATTGTTTTACAAATTTATTTGACTTTAATGGAATATTCTACATCGTAAAAATATTTGTCTAAGGTAACTAATAAGTTCAAATACGTGGTTCTAGGCCATATATGCCCTTCCCTGAAACAGGACTCAAAGTACCTGATGCCCAGTTCTCCAAGAACAATATCACGTTTTGATGGGACCTGAAGATTCATTGCCATAATGTTTATTAATTCCCGCGACATGATTCTAACCTGAGCCAGCGAATAGAAGCCACATTATTAAATCCTACATCAGTGTCTCAACCCAAGGTGCATATAACCCCAAGGCATGTGCATGAGGTGTATTTCATATACTGGTTAGAGCTAAAACGAGGACAGATTTTAGTCTCTACACATTTTCTTCCCAAGTGCTTTAAAAGTCCTAAGGAACATGCAACCCTATGCAGCTACTTACAATCATTGGGTGTGGGGATAAGTGGATTTTCCTGGCTCAAGATAAGGGTCTAGCAGTGTGCATAGGTGGGTAGTGAACTCCAGCTCTTGTGAACACGGTAATGAACCTTCGAGTTCTACACGAGTCTGAAAATATTCTGCCCAATTCAAGACGGAATTGTGTTGTAATGACACGTACGTACGTACATAGATTACATACGTACGTGTGATTACTTGCTCCGTCTTTATAAGTTCTTATTCATATTCTAAAACTCTCTAACTAGCATATTCTGGTACTTTCATAACTATAAAGATTCAATGTAAACATATGTTAAAAGTATTTGGTTTACCAATAAGGGAATTTTTACACTTACAGACCCATGGTTTGCAATTTAATGTAACATATTTTTGTAATAACTGTGTTATAAATTATATTAGTTATTTTTAGCTTTTATGCTTTATTTACTGTACTAATTGCATTACATATCTTTAAGCTACTGTATTTCCTGTAAAAATTACTAGTATTAATATTATTCCAACCACTGAAACAGAGATGAAAAGTGTAATAAATTCCCTCAAATCAAAAAACTCATCAGGTTATGACGAAGTAACAAGTAAAATTTTGAAAGCTTGTTCAGCTTTAATTAGTTGTCCATTAACCCACATTTGTAATCATTCACTAGAAACAGGCATTTTCCTGGGCCGCCTTAAAATATCTATTTACAAGTTACAGAAATCCAGTAGTGGATATAGAACA